TACACCCAAAAAACAACTACAAATCTTTCACAATTTACTCATCCTCCACTTGTTACAAACCTGTTCAAGTCATTTTTATTCATTTTAAAAAAAAAAATTTTAGAGTTTTTAAGGATTGTCAAGACGCTATACTTTTTAAAAGTGAGGCTAAGCGTGTTTAAACATGTTTATATTGACAAACAATGGAAAAGTAGGTTATCAAAGCATTTAATTCTGCATTATGCATTGAGTGTTGTGATTTCTGATTAGGCATGGGCCGCTGGTATTAGATTCTGAAGGTTTCACAGTATCATGGTATTGTGATTACTGCTCTAAAACATATTATTTTAAATGTCTATGTAAAAAACTAGAAAAATCCCCTTTTAAAACGATATATTGTATTATTCTAAAGATTTAAAATATTTTGGAGCAGTAAACATGTCAGGCTAAATAATGAAAATCAATTATTGACTTCAGCTGTGTTCATTAGCTTCAAAAACGTTGATTTCTTTACAATTAAAAATGCCATCTTTAAATACTGTCCTGCTGGAGATACTGTTGTCCTAAAAAAAATGTTAATAAAATATCTGACGGTTTTAATACCTTGACTTTTCCAAACCGCGGTATACCTTGAAAATGGTTATCGTCCAGTAGGGTTGGGCGATGTCGACCAATTTGGCATGGTACAATGTCTAATGTGAACGGTGAGGTGAGGATGTGGACTGTTTTCATTCTATAATGGCATTGTAACACTAAGGCGTGTCAGTGTAAACAGGGCCTATAGTGTGTATTTTTCGCGACCTGGTTTGCGACAGGGGTGGGGGGGGTTGAGGATCAGTGATGCCGCCTCAGCATTGTGTTGTCTATTGGCCATCGGCGATGGCATTGTCTATCAGCCCAACCCTATCCAGCCTATATATATGATTATTATTATTATATATTTTTTTTAAGATTTATCTTTGGTATTTTTGCCTTTATTGAGTGGATACGACAGTATTTCAGACAGGAAGCGAAGTGGGAGAGGGACGGAAAATGTCCTCGAGCCGGGTTTCGAACACAGGATGCCCTGAAGTGCTAAAGCACCCCATGTCGACGCGCTAACCACTAGGCTATTGTGACGACTATTTATGATTATTTAAAGGAACAGTTAACAAAAAAAAAAAAAAAAACTATTTTACGGCTGCACAATATATTTTTTTAGCATCAATATCGCAATATGTGTTTCTGCAAAAGTCACATCTAAGGATTAGATTAATAATTAAAAATTATTAGTTGTTAATAAATATTATTATTTATAAATACCTTATACAATAATGACCATTTTACTTTATCTTAAATTACTCAATTTCTGTACCTGAATACTGTTAGACTCTCCAGAAAACATAAAGCACTGTTTATTTGACATATATTTTAGCTTGGTCGCATGAATATGCTTGTAATTTATTATAATTTATGCAACGCACCGCATAGAAAAAAAAGACCATCATAGCAGTCCATCTAATGAAATCTTTACAAATAAAGCCACTCAATTCATCTGGTGAAATCATTTCACAATGCATACTCGCAGAACAACAACATTTTGCAATGTCAGATTTTTCCAATATCACGTAGATCTACTTCAATTACTCTCACACCAAAATGGCTCTTAACTTTGCAGCATATGAAATGTCCTGAACACTATTTTAACAGTACAAAATGGGCAAAAACAATGTTACTGATAGTCAAAACATGTTCAAGAAATATGTGTGTATGTGCTATTAATGCATACAAAACAGTCAGGAAAAAACTGCTGTGCTCAAGGCAGAAATAAGGAGTTTTTTATTCTATTACACAAAGGTGATTTTACAGTGTTTTATGGAAATTAGGACCACGAGTCCACATATATGAATATAATTTTACTCTCAAATCAAAAGATGATACTTAGGTTTTATTCTAATTAGGCTGCAATAAACCCAAACAGCAAAGAGAAATAAAAAATACATAAAATTATTTTATTAAAATTTAATTACATTATTTTTTTTGCCAACTATATTTATTTATTAATTAGTTTTTCAGATACAATATCATATACATATAGAAATAAGTAATACACTGTTCTGCTTTTTCACAACTAAGAACCAATGACCATCAGAAAAAAAAATAGTAATAAAATGACACAGTAAATGTAAAAAAAGAATAAATAATAAATATATAAACAACAACAGCAAAAAAAACTAACTACAAAAGTAATAGATAAATAATAATAAAACATAAAAACATTAAAAAAATAAAAACCTTTATTCCTCTTCTGCTTCAAGATCAATAGTGTCAATATAATTCAACAATGGTTTCCATGTTTTATAAAAGGATTTTAAATACCCTTTTAATGAAAACCTAATTTTTTCCCATTTTAAACACAAAAACAATTATTTTATCCATCTGTCATGTGAAGGTGGAGATGTTTGTTTCCATTTAAGGAGAATAAGCCTCCTAGCCAATAATGTAGTAAAGCCACAACGTTCTGTATTGTTGAAGGCAAATTTGGCTCAAAAGGAAATCCGAATAGTGCTGTTAGAGGGTTTGGAGTGGCTGATATGTTAAAGTTTTTTTCAGAAGTATTGAATACTTTAGACCAAAACACTGTCAATTTTGGACAAGACCAGAACATGTGTGTGTGATTTGCTGGAGATTGTTGACACCTATTACAAGTATTATTTCTATTTGGGTATATTTTGGCTAATCTGCTTTTTTAAAAGAAACATTTTTCATGTTTTTTTTTTTTTTTTTTGTATTTAACAAAAGAAATACACTCATAAAAGTTAAGAGCCACTTGGGTGTGAGAGTAAATGGAGAGAGAACTTTTATTTTAGGGTGAACTGTCCCTGAAATTACAACAGTCAATACATCACACAAAAACAAATGAGTTGCTTCCAAATCATAAAACAACTCTGCAGTTCAAGCACATGTATTGTAATATCTATATTCAGAGATGTGTATAGTTTAGTGCTCATTGCAAACAAACACAGATGCCAATACACGCGACTTGTTTGTATGACAATATTTTGATTTGTTTGCATGTATTAATTTGTGTGTGCAATATATTGCATTTTTACAACATGCTACGACTATACAGGTAATATTTGTGTGGATATGAATGAGTTAAAGCATTAAATGAAGACTGTCATCAACCAGAAACGCGAAATGACCAATTACAGCTCAACATCTGAGGAAAACCGGCGAATATTTAATCTGCAGCCGATTGTGATCATGTAAACACCGTCAAGGCCTGTTTATAGTATCATATAATGCATTAATACGTCCATACAAACTAAATATACAGCATTTTCGGACACCTGCCTCAAAAACGCCCCTAATGTACAGTCAGAAAGGCAGTACAGTAGATTTGTTTGAGACACCGCCTGGCCTCCAGATCACTCTGCGCCAAACACACACTCACAACGCGGTTAAAACAACAGTCACACATCTTTCAGCAGTATAAACATTAACATCATCACGAAAAATACACACGCACATTACCAGAAAACACGAAAGAGTCAAAGAGTTACCTGCACTTTCCTGCGCCCCGCTGCATTCTGCCTGTGATGCGTCGCCATCTTACATGTTGACGCCGTGACGCCACTTCCGTCACGCCAAGAAGAGCCGCCAGCCGGCGCGCGCTAATAAAATACGAATAAATATACGCCAAAATGCGCACAGCGATCATTAATTATAAAAAATAAACTAGTGATAATATTTAAAATACATAGACATTTCCGTACAAAACGCCTTTTACAAAACCAAAGACAAGATTTATTGTAAGTTAGGCTAATTTGTTTTTACATATTAATACAACATATGGAGGACGAAACCTCAAAAGCAATAAATAAATACGCAAATAATTTAATACTTAAATACACAAATTACTGCATAAATAAAACAATGAATATATAAATACGCAAATAAATTAATAAATAAATACACAAATTCTTGCAGAAATAAAACAATAAATAAATAAATGCGCAAATAAATTAATAAATATATGCACAAATTCCGGCATAAATAAAACAATAAATAAATAAATACGCAAATAAATGAATAAATAAATATACAAACTCCTGCATAAATAAAACAATAAAAAAAATACACAAATAAACAAATAAATAAATATACAAATTCTTGCATAAATAAAAACAATAAATAAATGCACAAATAAACAAATGAATAAATAAATATAAAAATTCCCGCATAAATAAAACAATAAATAAATATGCAAATAAATTAATAAATAAATACACAAACTCCTGTATAAGTAAAATAATAAATACATGTGCAAATAAATGAATAAATGAATACACAAATTCCTGCATGAATAAAAGAAAAAATAAACAAACAAACAAACAAATAAATAAATAGCTATACAAATTCCAGCATAAATAAAACAATAAACAAATAAGCAAATAAATAAATACACAAATTTTTGCATAAGTAAAATAATAAATAAATATGCAAATAAACAAACAAATAAATAAATAAATACACAAATTCCTGCATAAATAAAACAATAAAGAAATACGGAAATAAACAAATGAAGAAATAATTATAAAAATTCCTGCATAAATAAAACAATAAATAAATGCGCAAATAAACAAATGAATAAATAAATATAAAAATTCCTGCATAAATAAAACAATAAACAAATACACAAATAAATGAAAAAATAAATATAAAATTCCTGCATAAATAAAACAATAAATAAATAAATATGCAAATAAATGAATAAATATATGCACAAATTCCGGCATAAATAAACAACAAATAAATAAATAAATAAATAAATACGCAAATAATTTAATAAATAAATATACAAATTCCTGCATGAATAAAACAATAAATAAATACACAAATAAACAAATAAATAAATAAATAAACAAACAAATTCCTGCCTAAAATAAAACAATAAATCAATACACAAATAAACAAATGAATAAATAAACATAAAAATTCCTGCATAAATAAAACAATAAATAAATATGCAAATAAAT